ACCTGAGCGGGCTCCATGCTTGCCGTGGTATGGCATCTGCACAGGTAACTCAAGAAAAAAGGCACGAAACGATTGTCTGCTGCTGCTTTCACGGAGGGAGGGAGGGAACAGGGGCCTGATGATACATACCCAGAACCACCCGCGACAATGTTTTAGCCCCATCAGGCATTGGGACCTCAACCCAGAATTCCAATGGGCGGCAGAGACTGCGGGAACTGCGGGATAGCTACTCACAGTGCAGCACTCCGGAAGTCGACGCTAGCCTCGGTACTGTGGAAGCACTCCGCCGAGTTAATGCACTTAATGCACTTAGAGCATTTTCTGTGGGGGGACACACACTCGAATATATAAAAACGATTTCTAAAAAACCGACTTCTATAAATTCGACCTAATATCGTAGTGTAGACATACCCTAAGTGTCTTTAAGTAATCACCAAGACCCATACGGGGCTCCCAGCCCTCTGTTGCACCTCAAGGGCACGACACACCACGTTATAATCCCCAAAGGCACCATACACTTACAGCACCAACACAGGCAACTACCACCTCCTGACAGGGTGCCCAAGGTACTGCCACCCCATGATCCCAATCCCACACAGTGCTTAGGGTGCGAATCATGCTATGGAGGGTGCTACCACCCCACCCCTTCAGATGCCCATCACAGGACCTGCTGCCTCTTATGGGCCCCTACTGCCACCAACTGCTACCAGATCCCTGCCCCAGGTATCTACAGGGTACCAAGCCCCGCTCCCCCCCGCAGCCAGGGTATCTGCCCTGTCCCCCGGGTACTCCCGCCCCCCCGCCCGCAGCCAGGGTATCTGCCCTGTCCCCCGGGTACTCCCGCCCTCCCCCCCCACACAGCCAGGGTATCTGCCCTGTCCCCCGGGTACTCCCGCCCTCCCCCCCCCACACAGCCAGGGTATCTGCCCTGTCCCCCGGGTACTCCCGCCCCCCCGCCCGCAGCCAGGGTAACTGCCCTGTCCCCCGGGTACTCCCGCCCCCCCCGCCCGCAGCCAGGGTATCTGCCCTGTCCCCCGGGTACTCCCGCCCCCCCCCCGCAGCCAGGGTATCTGCCCTGTCCCCCGGGTACTCCCCCCCCCGCAGCCAGGGTATCTGCCCTGTCCCCCGGGTACTCCCGCCCCCGCCCGCAGCCAGGGTATCTGCCCTGTCCCCCGGGTACTCCCGCCCTCCCCCCACACAGCCAGGGTATCTGCCCTGTCCCCTGGGTACTCCCGCCCCCTGCCCGCAGCCAGGGTATCTGCCCTGTCCCCCGTACTCCCCCCCCCCCCCGCAGCCAGGGTATCTGCCCTGTCCCCCGGGTACTCCCCCCCCCCCCCCCCGCAGCCAGGGTATCTGCCCTGTCCCCCGGGTACTCCCGCCCCCCCGCCCGCAGCCAGGGTATCTGCCCTGTCCCCCGGGTACTCCCCGCCCCCCCGCCCGCAGCCAGGGTATCTGCCCTGTCCCCCGGGTACTCCCGCCCCCCGCCCGCAGCCAGGGTATCTGCCCTGTCCCCCGGTACTCCCGCCCCCCCCCGCAGCCAGGGTATCTGCCCTGTCCCCCGGGTACTCCCCCCCCCGCCCCAGCCAGGGTATCTGCCCTGTCCCCCGGGTACTCCCCCCCCCCCCCCCAGCCAGGTATCTGCCCTGTCCCCCGGTACTCCCGCCCCCGCCCCAGCCAGGGTATCTGCCCTGTCCCCCGGGTACTCCCGCCCCCCCGCCCGCAGCCAGGGTATCTGCCCTGTCCCCCGGGTACTCCCGCCCCCCCGCCCGCAGCCAGGGTATCTGCCCTGTCCCCCGGGTACTCCCGCCCTCCCCCCACACAGCCAGGGTATCTGCCCTGTCCCCCGGGTACTCCCGCCCCCCCCCCCCACAGCCAGGGTATCTGCCCTGTCCCCCGGGTACTCCCGCCCCCCCGCCTGCAGCCAGGGTATCTGCCCTGTCCCCGGGTACTCCCGCCCCCCCCCCCCCGCAGCCAGGGTATCTGCCCTGTCCCCCGGGTACTCCCGCCCTCCCCCCCACACACAGCCAGGGTATCTACCCTGTCCCCCGGGTACTCCCGCCCTCCCCCCCCCACACAGCCAGGGTATCTGCCCTGTCCCCCGGGTACTCCCGCCCCCCCCCGCCCGCAGCCAGGGTATCTGTCCTGTCCCCCCGGGTACTCCCGCCCTCCCCCCCGCAGCCAGGGTATCTGCCCTGTCCCCCGGGTACTCCCGCCCCCCCCCCCGCAGCCAGGGTATCTGCCCTGTCCCCCGGGTACTCCCGCCCCCCGCCTGCAGCCAGGGTATCTGCCCTGTCCCCCGGGTACTCCCGCCCCCCGCCCGCAGCCAGGGTATCTGCCCTGTCCCCCGGGTACTCCCGCCCCCCCCGCCCGCAGCCAGGGTATCTGCCCTGTCCCCCCGGGTACTCCCGCCCCCCCGCCCGCAGCCAGGGTATCTGCCCTGTCCCCCGGGTACTCCCGCCCTCCCCCCCCACACAGCCAGGGTATCTGCCCTGTCCCCCCGGGTACTCCCGCCCTCCCCCCCCCCACAGCCAGGGTATCTGCCCTGTCCCCCGGGTACTCCCGCCCCCCCCGCCTGCAGCCAGGGTATCTGCCCTGTCCCCCGGGTACTCCCGCCCCCCCGCCTGCAGCCAGGGTATCTGCCCTGTCCCCCGGGTACTCCCGCCCTCCCCCCCACACACAGCCAGGGTATCTGCCCTGTCCCCCGGGTACTCCCGCCCTCCCCCCCACACACAGCCAGGGTATCTACCCTGTCCCCCGGGTACTCCCGCCCTCCCCCCCCCACAGCCAGGGTATCTGCCCTGTCCCCCGGGTACTCCCGCCCCCCCCGCAGCCAGGGTATCTGTCCTGTCCCCCGGGTACTCCCGCCCTCCCCCCCGCAGCCAGGGTATCTGCCCTGTCCCCCGGGTACTCCCGCCCTCCCCCCCCGCAGCCAGGGTATCTGTCCTGTCCCCCGGGTACTCCCGCCCCCCCGCCCGCAGCCAGGGTATCTGCCCTGTCCCCCGGGTACTCCCGCCCCCCCCCGCAGCCAGGGTATCTGCCCTGTCCCCCGGGTACTCCCCCCCCCGCCCCCCCCGCAGCCAGGGTATCTGCCCTGTCCCCCGGGTACACCCGCCCCCCCCCCCGCAGCCAGGGTATCTGCCCTGTCCCCCGGGTACTCCCCCCCCCCCGCAGCCAGGGTATCTGCCCTGTCCCCCGGGTACTCCCGCCCCCCCCCGCCCGCAGCCAGGGTATCTGCCCTGTCCCCCGGGTACTCCCGCCCCCCCCGCCCGCAGCCAGGGTACCTGCCCTGTCCCCCGGGTACTCCCCCCCCCCCCCACACAGCCAGGGTATCTGCCCTGTCCCCCGGGTACTCCCCCCCCCCCCCCACACAGCCAGGGTATCTGCCCTGTCCCCGGGTACTCCCCCCTCCCCCCACACACAGCCAGGGTATCTGCCCTGTCCCCCGGGTACTCCCCCCCCCCCCGCCCGCAGCCAGGGTATCTGCCCTGTCCCCCGGGTACTCCCGCCCCCCCCCGCCCGCAGCCAGGGTATCTGCCCTGTCCCCCGGGTACTCCCGCCCCCCCCCGCCCGCAGCCAGGGTATCTGCCCTGTCCCCCGGGTACTCCCCCCCCGCCCGCAGCCAGGGTATCTGCCCTGTCCCCCGGGTACTCCCCCCCCCCGCAGCCAGGGTATCTGCCCTGTCCCCCGGGTACTCCCCCCCCCCCCCTGCAGCCAGGGTATCTGCCCTGTGCCCCCCCGCCCCCCCCGCGTACTCCCCCCCCCCCCCCTGCAGCCAGGGTATCTGCCCTGTCCCCCGGGTACTCCCGCCCCCCCCCCCTGCAGCCAGGGTATCTGCCCTGTCCCCCGGGTACTCCCCCCGCCCGCAGCCAGGGTATCTGCCCTGTCCCCCGGGTACTCCCCCCCCCCGCAGCCAGGGTATCTGCCCTGTCCCCCGGGTACTCCCCCCCCCCCCCAGCCAGGGTATCTGCCCTGTCCCCCGGGTACTCCCGCCCCCCCGCCCGCAGCCAGGGTATCTGCCCTGTCCCCCGGGTACTCCCGCCCCCCCGCCCGCAGCCAGGGTATCTGCCCTGTCCCCCGGGTACTCCCGCCCCCCCCCCCAGCCAGGGTATCTGCCCTGTCCCCCGGGTACCCCCCGCCCGCAGCCAGGGTATCTGCCCTGTCCCCCGGGTACTCCCCCCCCCCCCCCGCAGCCAGGGTATCTGCCCTGTCCCCCGGGTACTCCCCCCCCCCGCAGCCAGGGTATCTGCCCTGTGCCCCGGGTACTCCCGCCCCCCCCGCGTACTCCCGCCCCCCCCCCCTGCAGCCAGGGTATCTGCCCTGTCCCCCGGGTACTCCCCCCCCCGCAGCCAGGGTATCTGCCCTGTCCCCCGGGTACTCCCCCCCGCCCGCAGCCAGGGTATCTGCCCTGTCCCCCGGGTACTCCCCCCCGCCCGCAGCCAGGGTATCTGCCCTGTCCCCCGGGTACTCCCGCCCCCCCCCCGCAGCCAGGGTATCTGCCCTGTCCCCCGGGTACTCCCCCCCCCCGCAGCCAGGGTATCTGCCCTGTCCCCCGGGTACCCCCCCCCCGCAGCCAGGGTATCTGCCCTGTCCCCCGGGGTACCGCTGGGCGCTCCCCGGGGCTCTCACCTCGCCTCTTGCGGGCGCCGCCGCCCATCCTGGGAGCGGGGCCCTTCGGCCTCTTCTGCTTCATCCCTCCGCCGCTCCCCCGCGCCAGGCCCGGCTCTCAGCCACCGCCGCTGCCCGGCAACCGCCGCCGCCGCCTCAGCTCGCCGCGGGGCCCCCTGGGACACGGCGGGAGAGTCAGCCAGCCCCGGGAGAGCCCCGCACAGCCCGCCGAGATGAACTACAGTTCCCAGGGGGCGCTGCGGCCCCGCTTCCGGCGAGGGGAGGCTGCGCGAGGGCAGACGCTTCCGGCAGAGGAGGCGCTCCCCCGCCCGTGAGTAGGAGTGGGGGTGGACTCTGTTTCCCGTGGTGCAGCGCGGCGTGGCGCGGCAGGGGGTACTTCCGGCGGGGGGTGGGTGCAGTGCTGCTGGCTGGGCGGGGGCGGTACCTGCTGTTCTGTCTGGGCCTCTGCCCGTCATGTCGACCCTGGAGAAGCACCTGCACCTGGGCCGCCTGCCCCCCAGGCCCGCCGTGCCCGGCGGGGGCGGCCAGTCCGGCTCCAAGATGCGCATGGGGTAGGTGGGGGAGGGGAGCCGGGCATTTTACCGCGGGGACGTTGGGGATCGGCCGAGGGGGCCAGGGCGCCCGTTGCGAGGCGGGGGGGGGGATCGACGGGGGAGGCGAGGGCGCCCGTTGCGGGGCGGGATCGACGGGGGAGGCGAGGGCGCCCGTTGCGGGGCGGGGGGCGGGGCGGGATGGACGGGGGAGGCGAGGGCGCCCGTTGCGGAGGCGGGGGGGGGGGGCGGGGGGGATCGACGGGGGAGGCGAGGGCGCCCGGGGCGGGGCGGGGGTGTTGGTGGTGGCAATAGTAATTGAAATTATTAATATTGATATGGGAAACCACGAAACACTAATTAACCATAAATTCCTTTATTAAATCCAAGGGCCAAATAAAATTTATACCATTGCTCTAAACATGCCTAAAAAGCCTAACTAATAAGTAAGTAACAAAACATTTGTAAGCATTTGATCGAGATATTTACAAGTGGGCTAAACCCTGGGGTGCTGAGACACCTATTGATCGGCTCCAAAGTGCTAAAACCTGTCTGACCAATGAACCCTTTTAAGGCTTGACTTTTATACCCTTTAACAAACAAGTGATGTCATCACCAATTACTGACTTCAGCTAAAAACCAATTTAAGACAATTCATCCTTATTTCCAATCTTAATCCAGTTAAGATTTACAGCCTCCTCCCTAAGGCCTTTGTTATCTTCTCCTTTCCCCACCATCCCTCCCCTCCCCCTCCCCTCCCCAGCAGAACAGAGGGAAGTTTTGAGCTTGTTTCTTTTAAGACAGTTTTTCTTTGTCTTCTTACTGTAGCTCTTTATTTTATTAGTTAAGTTTGAAACCATACATCCTTCCTGCACTACAAGTAATCCTACTTATTATTCTGACAGCCTTCTTTAATTTGCTGGCTGGGGCCTTCTTTACAACACACAAACACTTAACCAAACTGAAGCTAACTTTAATTCTTTAATTTTATACTTATCCTGTGGGGGGATTGGCAGAGGAGGCGTGGGTGCTGGTTGTGTGGTGGTGGTAGGGATTGGCAGAGGAGGTGAAGGTGCCCATTGCAGGGTGGGTGGGGATTGGCAGGAGAGGCAAGGGTGCTGGTTGTGGGCGAGAGGACATCTGGGACATTGGCCTCAGGCATGGGATGGGAATTCTAACATGTTAATTTGAGATGTATTTCAGCAGATTGAATAGTTTCTCTGGAGGGTTACTTTACGCTAATAATTTTGGTGTTTCTTGTGTGTTTTTGTTGCAAATTCAGTTTTGAATCAGGGCGTTCACAAATGCTTATGAGATGTGTCTGGACCTAACTTGTCAGACCATCTGTCTGTCTATATGAAGAGAACTAGACAGATGAACACCTATGTATGGTAAAGAGCATCTCCTTAGCTTGGCATAGACAAGACATAGACATATGGCTGATTTGACTCCTACTCAAAGAGATTCTATTAATTAATGCTCATTGTCTAAGTGGGAGCTAGTGTTCCTTCTAACCAACTGACAATGATGACTTGAAATAGTCATAGTTTGAAACTGGTGCCTACCTGCTGCCTTTTCCTTTAACTCACTGGTCTAATTGAATACACTTTATTATTAAGATCTCTCAACATCCTTCTCTCATGAACAGAGCCTGGTGAAGATAAATATTTCAGGGCATCTCTTCGTTTTCAACTATGATTCTTCTCTGAAGCTGTGTGTATTTGTGAATGAAGAAATGCTCTTTTAACCGGTGCAAACTCTGTGCAAGTTTAGCTTAAATATTATTACACAGCAGGAGTCTACGTGAAGCTGGGTGTTGTCGGTAGCTACCAGTGTGGTGCTCCGCTCTTGTTCGATGATAACAGTCGGCTGCGTGCGTGTTCCCTCTGCTTGCTGCCCCAGCTCTGCGCAGGTAGCTAACTCAGCAGACCCCGAGAGAACCCCCAAAAACCACAGACTCTAATAAGGTACGTTTATTGTCAAACGAAGCACAGTAATAGTTCCCTATAGACTCGACAGGGCATACTACGAATTTGTGCTCCCTGGCAATGGACACAGCTCAGTCAGTGGCGGGACACTCCACTGCCCCCTAGGCTGGTTAAAGATATGCGCTCCGGGACCTACTTTTATACCGTTGCAGGACAGATAATTCATCATAGTTCAAACGAATCTATCCATCATGTTGTCCTTTTGACCCTGTCTTTAAGATGCACCTGCCTGTTCCTTGTTATGTCGATGGAGTGTCTTGCCGCTGTCTCGGCACAATTTCCTCTCATTAGCACTTATGTGTGTGTGCACTTGCCTATAACAACCTTTTCTTGCCAACTTCTGTGAGTGGGACCTGCCTCTGGCTCACAGCCCAGCTTTTCTTATCGCTACCTGGAAGTACTTTGGTTCAGGATTTACTTTGGTTCAGGCTTCAGGCCTTGGACGGGTCCTCTGATACAAGAATTTTTGTTTCAGGCCCTCCTCTTACTACACTGAGCAGTAGGTGAACTCAGCCAGGCGAGTAAGTCCTTGCTCCTGGGAAGTGATAATGTACCGTCTGGGATGGCAGAACACAGAGCAAACAGGTAGTGAGCTTTATAAACCAGTCTAAGTGTATCATTTGAGAGCGAAGGCCTGGTCAACACTTAACATTTAGAGCATCCTGGCTACCTCAGTCCTGAGTGAAAAATTCACCCCCTGAGCCCTATGGCTAAGCTGACCTAATTCCCAGGGTAGATACAGTTAGGTTGACAGAAGAATTCTTCTGTCAACTTAGCTGCTGCTCCTTAAGGAGGTGGTTTACCTACATCAATGGAAAAACCTTCCATCGACACAAGAAGTGTCTACACTATGGAGATGCAGCTGTACTGCTGTAGTGTAGATGTGCCCTGAGAGAGAGAGAAAGATTGGCCAATGTTAATTGTGAGGCTGTTCCAGGTGTAGGAGGAGGGATGAAAGAAAGGAAATGGCCAGGAAAGCAGCTTGGCAGGAGCATAGTGACAGAGGGGGAGGCGATGGGCTGGAGTTAAGGACAGTTTTGAAGGTGAGGAGAAGCAGCTTGAATTTTTATATGGTAGAAAAGGAGGTGTCCAAGGTAAGGAGATGATTATAGCGGTCACAGAGGAACGTGGTCTTGGCAGCGGGGTTCTGGATGACCTGGAGGGGAGAGATTATAGCTGTGCAGATTTGGAGAAGGGGAGGTTAGCAGTAATCACACCACTGCGCAGGCTGTATGTGGAGATGTTGTAAAGTAAAGCAGCAGAATTTGGTGAAGACCCAGATATGAAGGGCCAGAGACAAGGTTTGGGCGCGGGGGAGGACAGTGCTGGTAACAGTGACAGACTAATGGAAAAGTAGAGGGCTTATGGAAAGGTAATATGTTTGGGTGTGCACATTACTGGCTCAGATTCACCTCCAAACCAAAGAGGGTGCATGTTGCTTTCACTTAGGCCAAGGATGAATTTAGTTGGAATTTGAAATGATGGCACAAAATCGGGTAGAAAATGATGGTACAGAATGAAACCCAGAGTATGAGAAGTAGTGTTTTGTACTTCTCTACCATCTTTTCTCTAAAAAACTGGCAATGCTTTATGCAGATGGAAAGTACCATTATCGCAAGTTTTGCATATGGGGAAACCATAGCAGAGAGTAGTTAAATGGTAGGCCCATAGTCTTCTAGTGAGTTAATGACCGTCATAAATATAACACAGAGGTCCTGACAACCCTGGATCTAACCATTTCTTAGTGATCACTCACAATAACTTCAGCTTCTGCACCCGTATTTTTGAATTTCGCTATTAGTCCCATGTTTAAGGTAACATTACATTCTTTAAAAGGATGTTAAATAGTGGTTAGCAAGGGGAGTGCAAAGGATCTGATCCTACTTTGGATGTAACTTGTAGTGATTCTTAATCCTGCAGCCTAGGTATTGTGGTGATGGACTGTTCAAAAGTACAGGTAGTGCGACTCTCTACCCTTTTCATATGCTAGTCAGATGAACAGAAAGATCCTTCACCCTGATGGGCACTAGCTGTTTCTATTGAAACAACTTTTACTAGTCTGAAAAAGTGTAACAGCATAACTGTTGAATGGAACTTGTTAGAAGGAGGTCTATTGCCACTCCTATAAAGTTCTGCCAAAGTCTTGTATATTTTTAGAAGCTTAAACTATGCTATAAAAATGTCCTCTCTGCAGGAGCTGGCATGTATCATCTCGGGGGGGGAAAAAATTGTTGCTAACTCAAGAGTGTTAAATTTGGAGAAAAACCACTGGTTTTTAGGAATGTAAGACTTGCCACACTGAAAGAGATCAGGAGTACTTGTGGCACCTTAGAGACTAACCAATTTATTTGAGCATAAGCTTTCGTGAGCTACAGCTCACTTCATTGGATGCATACTGTGGAAAATACAGAAGATGTTTTTATACACACAGACCATGAAAAAATGGGTGTTTATCACTACAAAAGGTTTTCTTTCCCCCCACCCCACTCTCCTGCTGGTAATAGCTTATCTAAAGTGATCACTCTCCTTACAATGTGTATGATAATCAAGGTGGGCCATTTCCAGCACAAATCCAGGGTTTAACAAGAAAGTCTGAGGAACAGTGGGGGGAGAGGGGGTGGATAAACATGGGGAAATAGGTTACTTTTTATAATGAATCAACCATTCCCAGTCTCTTTTCAAGCCCAGGTTAATTGTATCCAATATGTAAATTCATTCCAATTCAGCAATCTCTCTTTGGAGTCTGTTTCTGAAGTTTTTCTGTTGTAATATCGCAACTTTCATGTCTGAAATCGCGTGACCAGGGAAATTGAAGTGTTCTCCGACTGGTTTATGAATGTTCTAATTCTTGACATCTGATTTGTGTCCATGTATTCTTTTACGTAGAGACTGTCCAGTTTGACCAATATACAAGGCAAAGGGGCATTGCTGGCACACGGCGGCACAGTGAGCTGAGGCTGCAGGGGAGGTGCCGGGGTCTAGCCTCCTGGGCCAGGAGTTCAGGGGTCGGGCAGGAGAGTGCCGCTGGCCGGA